CACAGAAACTGAAACACTACCAATTCCCTTTTCAATGTTATGTCTGTTGCTTTAAAAAACATAATTAATACTTACAAAATATGTACCAGTGACTTTCAAGACATAACTGGTGACATCTTCAAGTTCTCTGTCTCCATACAATCTGATGTATGGAGCTGATGGACAATCTACCTCCACGTTCTCTCTGTACTGCTTGGAGTTTTGGTTAGCTTTGTTGTTTGTTTGGTTTTGAAACAGAGTCTCATAGAGCCCAGGCTGGCCTCAAACTTAATATGTAGCAATGATAACTTTCAGTTCATGATCTTCCCATCTCTGATGTCAATTATTGGGATTACAGGCATATGCCACCATACTCAGCTTCCTCTAGTATTTTTTGTTACTGACTGGCTCAGGCCAGGGAACACAAATCCTAAACACTGGCAGCCATGTTTGACTCATGTCTACCATTTACTTGAGCAGTAATGTTCCTTTAAGGGCATTTGGCCAGAAGTGAAGTACCTTAATGATGTTCCAGGATAAGCTTTTGCTGCTGGACCATTTGATGTTTCTCCCTTGTGGACACAGAAAACTGAACCGGTAAGTCACATGACCATTTGAGTAACAGCTTTGAGGTCCCTTTTCTGTACCCAGCTGCCTGTGGGGAAGAGATGAAGAACAGACACCCTTTAGGTGACTGGCAGCTTGCTTATGTGAACACCTCAAAGATGCTCAGAAGAGACAGCACCTCAGCTGCCAAAATAACTGTGACCATGGCTGCTGCAGGTTCAGCCTCAGGAGGCTTGGATGCAGTGACACCACTGCAGACATCTCTCTGCTGCCCCAGGAGACTTCACTTTAGCCAGGAGAGGCCTTGGTGACTTCTCCATGAGTCCTCCATTTTGAGCTAGTCTTATGGATTTGGGGACAGTTTTCCCATGACTCAGCAAGGCTGATGATTGGTAGGTATTTGAGGATTGTGATTGGTGGGAATAGAGCTACACCTATGCAGGACAGTGATTGGTGGATCGCATTCACCCATGCCTGCCTTGGGGTTTCTATTGCTGTGAAGAAACACCTTGAGCATGATAGCTCTTATAAAAGAAAAGATTTAATTGGGGCTGGCTTACAGTTTCAGAGGTTTAGTCCACTATCATCATGGTGGGGCGTGGCAGCGTGCAACCAGACATGGTGCATCTTGATCCCCAGGCAACAGGAAGTGAATGAGTCTAAACTGAGCATAGACCGAGCATAGGAGAATTCAAACCCCATTCACACAATGACACACTTCCTCCACCCAGGCCATACCCACTCCAACAAAGCTAAGCCACCTAATAGTGCCACTCCCTATGAGCTTAAAGGGAGCCATTTACATTCCAACTGCCACATTGCCCTTAATTGTCTTCAGGCTTTGAAAGCAGCCTAGTTTTCATTGATCAGTCCTTGGATGCTGTCCTTATATCGCAGAGGCTCTTTAGTAGAAGCTGACCCACTGACAATCAAATGTGAAGACAGACCGGCTTTGGGAAGGAAGTCTTGTCCTAGAGACGACCCCAGAGGTCAGAATATCAACATGGCTGGAAATAAGGAAAGCAACTGCATGTAGATGGCCTGTGAGGAAAGGAAGCTCAACATGGGACCCAAGCAAGCCATGTCTGTCACCTGTGGAGCAGCATGGAGGGGTCAAGGAGAAACAGATGGATTGCTGGGAGTAAGCCATGTAACGAAAGTGTTATTAATTCCATAGACTGAAACGGCTTCATCCGGTTCTCAGGACAGAGGAAGATATTATGACCTGGCTCGGGAAAGGCCATCAGAGCTCACGTGGCAGAACTGTGGGGTCTCTTCTTACACCTTTCCAAGGACAGGGTGTTTGCATGGCACAGGCCTGCAGACATGCTCTCTGATTCCCAGCCTGGGGCAGGGAGGACAGTTGGGAGCAGGATGTGTGGTCACTACTTTGCTGTAAACTCTCCTCCCAGGAGAGAGGTCCTGGCTCCTGGACATCTGTAATCTGGGGTCTCATAGACGATGTCAGGTGTGTGCAGGTGTCTGTGAGAGGGAGAGGACAGTTTTCTTGCACCACTTGTGTGCCCTGGAATTGAACCCAGATTCTTGGGCCAGGCAGCAGGCTCCTTTTTCCTACTGAGCTATCGCTCTTCTCCTGGTGTTTCTTTTATCCATTAACATATAACTTTAAAATACTTGATCTAAAATAAATTTAGGAAATGTCATGACCATGTTTGTCCCCTTGGGAATCCACAGGCTATTACATAGCCTGCCGTTGCTCTGGAACTCAGCAATTAGGCTAGACTAGCTGGACAGACAGCCCATGACTCTGGTTGACTCTTGCTTGTCCAGGGCTGGGATTGCAAACATATGCCACCTGCCAGGTTCATAATGTGGGTTCTGGAGATCAAGCTAAGATCCTCATGTGTCCCCCTACCCCCCCCCAAAGCGTTGCTGGCAGAATCATCTCTCTAGCTCTCTTGCATGCCTCTTACAACAAATTTCCCCAAACAGCCTGTCTGAATCAAAGACCATTGCTGTGAAGAGACACCATGACCACAGCAACTCTCACAAGGGAAAACATTTAATTGGGGCTGGCTTACAGTGTCAAAGGTTTAGTTTATCATCATCATGGTGAGAAGTTTCGTGGTACACAGGCAGACATGGAGCTGTAAATGTACCTAGGATGCTGTTCATTCTACATCCAGATTGGAGGCAGCAGGAAGAGGGAGGAGACACTGGTCCTGGCTTGAGCATTTGGAATGGCAAAGCCTAACAGCAATGACCCACTTCCTCCCCTGTGTGCCATTGCTGGAGACACAGCATACACATGCTTGTCCTTATGCTGACCACCACACCTGCTCGCTGGGATGACGGGCGCCCACCTGGCTGGGCTTTGGCTTTAGGGTGCTGGCCTGTAGGAGAAGAAACGGTGTCAGTGTGGCAGCCATGCTGACCCTCCCTCTGCCTCTCAGCTGTTCTCTGTGTTCAGACAACATTAGGGGCCCAGGGCAGCAAACAGCTCTGCAGCAGCCATTCAGGGACAGGATGAGAGTCACCAGGACCTGGGGCCAGTCCTCAGCTGTCCTTCAGCACAGCACAGCCAATCAGGGGAAAGCTCTCCTGGTCCATTGCTCCTTGTCCATCCCCTTTCCCTTTACTTCCTTCCCCCTGCCTTGAACTCCTGTCCCTTCCCTGCTTTCCCTCTCTGCACTCACCATGCCTCCCCTTTGCCTCCCTGGGAACCGGCTCTGTAGCTTTCCCTGTGAGTGCAGCCTGCTGCAGCCCTGCCAGTTCAGCCTCAGGGCTGGAGTCACAGTCAGACTTGTGCTGTGTCTGAGGCTGCTGCTCTCCAGCTCTCAGTTTCTCGTTATATCTCATTGGAGGGCTGAGCCCTTCTGAGAACCATGGGCTTAAATAGTTCAAATCACTACTTCTGAGCTTTCTATAACTCTCCACTTTTCTTTGTACTTATCCTGCAGTCTTCTTACCATGCAATCGAATTTCCTCTGAAACCAAACAACACTTGGTGTTTTGTTTGTTTGTTGTGTGTGTGTACAAGGTCTCAATGAGCCCAAGTCACTTTTAACTTACTACATTACTGCAGATGGCCTTGAACTCCTGATCCTATCTGTGTACTTCCCTAGGGTTGGAATTACAGGGTTCTTCTAATGTGTCTGCAGTTTTATTTCTTAGAGTCCTTATGAATTTTAAAAGATAAGTCACATATCTCTACAAAAATGAAATTGGGATTTGTATAGGAGTGTGTTGGGGGACGTCCTTCTGTTTATATGTTTCTCTTATTGTTTGATGAATAAAACATTGATTGTCCAGTAGCCAGGCAAGAAGCATAGGAGGGCTACCAGACCAGGAAAATTCTGGGAAGAGGATGGAGAGAGAGGTTTTGGGGGAGAAGCTATGTAGCTGCCAAAGGAGTAACATGCCGGATTATGGGTAAGCCACAGCCTCGTGGCAATACATAGTTCAATAGAAATGGGTTAATAATTAAGAAAGAGCCAGCCAATAAAAAGCCTGAGCCTTTGGTCAAACAGTTTAAAATTAACATGCCTCTGTTTGCTTGTTTGAGGCTAATCGGCTATGGGACCAGGCAGGAAAGAAACTCAGACTACAGGTGTGTATTAAAATTTTAGAGAATTTTGCATTATAAGGACTTAACGTCTAAAATTTTCAATGCTGAAAATACCCTTATATTTATTTATCTAAATTTAAAAATTTATTTTTGTGTAGTACTCCGAGTACACATGTATACATTTGCATTGTGCACACTCTTGTGGATGTTAGAGTACAATGATGGCTGTGGTTGTGAATGGCAGGGGGCTCAGCAATTATGCAGGGCTGGCAGCACAGTGAGCCTCAGGGATCCTAATGCATCTGCCTATCCAAACATCTGCAACATGGCCAACTTTTTACGTGAGTTCTTGTGTTTGTGTGGCAACCAATTCATCACCAGAGCTACCCTGCAGGCTTTTCTGTAATTTCTCTCAGCAGGGTTTTGTTTTTTAGGGCACGTATTTATGCCTCTTTTAGTGTAGGTCATTTCCATACATGTTCTTTCATCTGTGGGTTTAATATTCACCATTGTCTTAATTCCCGTTATAAGACCGTATCCCCAACACAAACAGTTGTCACACAAACAGTTGTCTCATTTTAACCCATTTCACTTCCTGTGAGCTGTGGTCCTTGAATGCTGGTCTACCTCAGACCTTGTATAGAAGCTACAGGTCTTTCCAAATGAGCAGCCAGCCCCTGAGGCTCCCACATGCCCCATGAATTCCTCAGGAGCAGACTCTGTGTCCATCTGCACTTGATCCTCTAATTTCCAGCTGGGACTCTGGGACAGTGGGCACAGATTCAGCCCTGGTTGAGTTCAGCCCCCTTCCTCCTGCCCTTGTGTTCTCTGGACTCTGCCCAGCACAAGCTCATCCTTCCCTATCGCCCACAGCTGAGAGAACTCAGAGGGGAAGCTCAGGTGAGGGCCTGTCCTGGACACTTACCTTTGCTCCCAGCACAGGAAGATCATCAATGCATAGGCAGAGGTTATAAGTGCAACTGTGGTAACCACCACCCTGACCATGGCTCCCAGGTTCACAAGTGAAGGATTTCTCTGGCTCTCTGTGTCCTCCAGGCCAGCAGAGGTGATGATGGAGGGAGTTTGTATGGTGGTTCTGACAACTGGGGAGAGATGAGAGTTACAGATCTTCCCTGGATGAGGGAGGGATGGGGTGAGAATCACATGTTGACTCCCCTGTGGGATGTGGGATGAGGAACAGCTCTCAGAAGTTCCCACAGAAAGAGGAACAAAGGCTGAGACTCTAGGAGAGCAAGCTCCAATGTACGCTCTGCACCTGTCCGTCCTGGTGGTGTGTCCTCAGATTTTCATTTGGTCACAGACGGCTAAGCCACAGCAATACAGATGTTCTTGTCATAAACGTCAGTAACTTTCATAGATGTCTCAGCCCACAATGTTTGCTCTTGGGAACTTAGAACCTGATATTGATCCCTAGAATCCATGTGAAGACCCTGGTGACCTGGGCATGATCTTTAATCTTAGCCCTGGAGGCAGAAGCAGCAAGATCTCTGTGAGGAAAACGCACTCGTGTGTGTGCGCGCGCGCACACGCACACACACACACACGCACACATGCACATACTCACACACATACACACATGTGCACATACACACGCACACGCATGCATGCATGCACATACATGCACACACACACACACACACATTCAGTTCCACACCAAACACAGCTGAGTGACCTGTAATCCCAGCAGAGAGGAGGTGGAGACCGCATGTCCTTGGGGCTCAAGGCCATCCAGCCTATTCTACTTGGCAAACTTGAAGCTAGTGAGAGACCCTGTCTCACAAAATAAGGAAATGTCACATGAAGTTGTCCTCTAGCTTCCACATGCACATGAAGAAATGTGAACACACTGAATAACAGACCCTCATGATCACATACAGAGTATAAACGTGTATAACAGAATATATATAATTTGTCCTTAAGTGTACAGCTCAGTGCAGGGCAGAGGGCATTCATTTCCTCTACAAACATCACTAAGGTTAATTTCCACAAAATGTATCTATTTGAAAAACTAGACCAGCCATTCTGAACCTGTGGTTTGCCACCCCCACAGTGGTGGGACATAAGATATCCTGTATATCAGATATTTACAGAACAAATCGTAACAGTGGCAAAAGTATAGTTAAGAAGTAGTAATGAAATAACCTTTTAGCCTATGTGTGTGAGGGGGAGGGGACTACCATGAGGAACTGTTTTGAGGGTGCCAGCATTAGGAAGGGTGAGAGTCACTGCTCTAGATCCTAGAAGCAGCTCCTTTCTCTCCCTGCCCTGAGCCCTGGCCGCTGCTGTTTGATGTGACATCAGGTCAACATGGCAGCCACAGAGACTGCACAGGAACGGGGCTGTGGGCGTCATCTCAGAGGTTAGCATTAGTCCAATCAAGAGCCACAGCTGGTTGTGGTGGCGTGTGACTCTAATCTCAGCACTTTGGAGGTAGAAGCGAGCAGATTTCTGTGAGTTCCAGGACAACCAGGGCTAAACGGTGAGATCCTGTCTTCTAAAAGCCAAACACCAATATATAAAGAAATAGCCACAGAGCAAGGCTGTGATGGACAAGGAAGCACACAGAGCCCCCAGCTCCTGTAGGGCCACACGAAGAACTGAGGAGTAAAAGCCACTCAGTGTTCCCAGAGCATGGGACTGCAGTTACTTGTGTCCCAGAGGAGAGGCAGGGATCAGAAGACAGAGCAGTCACAACATGTCAATGTGGACATGATTTCCCAAGACATTTGGAACTTGTGTGGGAGTGGGGAGGGCAAGAGGGCAAAAGAAGAGAGAGGAGTTGGGAAATGAAGAGAAGACAGGAGTGGGTAGGGAGAGGTGAGGGGTGTGTGCTGTGGAGCTAGGAGGGGGAAATGGGGGGCTGTGGTGACAGGTGGCATTTCACACTTAGACTTCAGGACATCAAGAACACCCAATGGGCACCTAGTGTTCATTCTGGTCTTAGGTTGGAGCTGTGTGAAGATGATCAACACAGGGACCAGTGGAGACCTGAAACAGGACATAGTGAGTCAGCGACATCCTGGAGAAGTCTACCCACCTCAAGGTCATGGGGAAGGACAGAAGTGTTCAAGACTGCAGTGTCAATGGTGAACAGAAAATGGTGAACTGAGGGGTATAACACAAGATAAGGATTAGAGAGGGGGTGGCGTTCCATCTGAGCAGAGTGACAGACAAGGTCAGAAGAGACAGCAAAGGCTTGTCCCAACTACAAGGAAAGATTTTGTTGGCAGAGCCAAGGAAAGAAATATGAAAGAAAGCTCAGAGGTGTGGAGCTGAGGTGACATCTAGGGGACAGGATGTCAGAGGCACCAAAGCCAGAGCCAGGGTGGCTCACCATGGGTGATGGTAAGGTGAGTCCCCGCCAATCGACTGCCAGATCTTCATGCCTTCTGTTGTGTTCAGATAAATTCGGCAGAAGTACACTGTCTGGTCCTTCTCCTTCAAGTCCAGGATTCTGAGGACTCCGGATGTCTGAGGCTGTGTCCAGTTCAGGATGAACCGGTCTTTGAAATGCTCATGTATGAAACCCGAGGAGGAGTTGTAGATAAATTCCCCATGGAAGTGCTTCCATCTCCAGAGAATCCTCATCTGTGGTTCATCTGTCAACTCCCAGGGGAAGGAGAAGGAGAAGGGGATCTTGATGGAGCTGCCCTGGATACCAGGGAGGTGCGCTGGTTGCTTCATCCAATAGACATGTAATCTGTTGGATTCTGCTGAGTTACCTGGGAAGGATGGGGAGAATCTGAAGTCTCTGCAGGGGATGGAAAGGACAACTAAGAGTTTTCCGAGCCATCATCCACAGGTGGATGTGTGACACAGGAAGGACTACACCTATGTCCCACTGTCCCATTTGGGATAGGACGGACAAGGACGGCTTGGTCTGGACCAATGCTAGGATGAGCTCTTTCTTGGGGTCTTAGCACTGGCAGGCTCCTCTAGCATACGCCTGTCCTCATGACAGCCTGTTCTTCCCAGCCTTATGGGTCTCTCCTGTGTTTAAGGTCCCAATATTGAGGTCCCCATCACTCACCAGCTTGCAGCCATGGTGCTGGCAGCAGCAGAAACAGGGTCCATGTTATGATCTGGTTTCCTCTAGGAATCAAGAGCTGCAGAGCCATCAGGCAGCAGAACAGGCCCTGTGGAGGGACCCTGGGGTGCTCAGGGCTCAGGAGAGAATCAGGGTACAGAGGCTCACAACCTCAGGGCCTCCTCATGAGGAGGACTGAGTGGGGGCAGGACCTCCCCATCTCCACTTCCTGTGGTCAACAACTTCCTTTACCATTTTTTTCTTTCTCTTGTAGCAGATGATCCACCCTTGTGGTCACTGACAAGATGGCTGTGCCCTTGAGCCCAGGTCCCATTTTTGACAGGTAGAGCCTTGATCACAGCGTACCAGGATCTCCTCTCTTCCACCTTCACCTCCTGTCTGATCCAATTCTGTCCATGTCCTGTGTGGACTGTGATCACTGATTCCTCACCTCCACATTTCCTCCACTCCTGCCCTCCCCTCAGTCCATTCCCAATTGTGTCTGTGTCTCTCTAAAAACCTCAGAGAAGTACTCAGTTTATGCTCACCTTGCTATCAAAGTGCCCTCTTCCTGCCTTTCATGGTCTCTTCACGATGTCCGGGAAACCAAGGCCAGTGGACACTCTCTCCCTGGCTGCTCACTGCTCCCGAGTCTATGACTTCCCTGGGCTTCTCGTGATCATCTCCCTCACCTCCACAGTGACTCCAAATCTTCTCCAGTTCCTGAAGGAGCCTCTCTGCCTCCTACCGTCCTTATCACACACTCAGAAGAGGATGCCGAGCATCAGAGCAGCCCTGGCACATGTCACATGACTGGCACATGGGGGGTTCACCGGACATCTGTTCCTTTAAGTACTTATAGTCGTTCTCTCCACACAGACTTCCGGCTGCCTGCTGGTGCAGCCTCTGAACTCGCCTCAAAGGCAGGGTCCCAGGAGGCTGTTCCCACAAAGCACCGAGTGACTTCCTCTGTGGCTGTTCTAGAACCTTCTTTGAACCAAATGGGCAAAGGAAGCTCAGAGCAGCAATGTGCCACTCATGACATATTGCCTGGGACATCTCCGAGAGTGGACACAGCTGGCCTGTGACTAGGATGGAGGTCTGAGAGGTGGGACTGAGGCTGTTGGTGACCTCAGACATAGTTGTATAGGATGGTTGACACACTCTTCCCCATGACAAGATGCCATCAGCTCCCTGAAGAATAAGAAGACATTCTTGCCCTAGAGGACCAGTCGTCAATCTCCCTGAGTGACATGTGCAGAGGTGGCTTCCCATTTCCTTAAGTTTCCTGGTATTGACTGCCTTCTCCACGCTTTCCTGCCATAGTCCCCCATTCTGTCATATCTGATTTCTCTGCCTTCCTCACAGTTCCCATAGCCCTCTGATCTCTTGACCTGAGCCCTCATGGTCATAGACAGAATACCCATGGCCTCACTAACAGCTGGACACAGACACGCTTGTACATTCCTTTTACGTTTTGACACACCAAGGCACAGAATCTTAAGCATTAGGTGGCCCCAGTAGTACAGTCAGTCAGGACCCTGGACAAAGCTATCGTGCTAGTCTAAAAGGGCTTCCTGGGGGTGGGGTGTCGGGCTTTGAACTTGTTATGTAGCCCAGGATGATCGTGAACACATACTCATCCTCCTCTCTGCCCCCTCCCATGTGCTGGGGTGACAAGTGTGCCACATTGTGCCCTATATTCCCTACTTCAGATAGAACCTAGTGTTCTGTGTGTGCCAGATAGGTAAGGGCTCTATTACATGAACCTTGTCTTTATACTCAGTGAGGTCGGAGAGGGGACCCTCCTGGTCATGAGTACTCACCTCCAGGCTTCATTCGCCATACTGTCTAGGGTCTGTGAATGAAAGTTCACTGATTTCTAAGTCACCTAGGAGGGGTGGAACCTGATGAGGCTGCCATATGTCAGTTGTTGGACCCCAGCATTTTTACACAACAGGCTCTGGTTGATTCCTCAGGATCCTGGCTGCCCCTTTGTGCTCAGACTCACTGCTGCCACCTGCTGGCGCCTTAATCCCAAGTCACCGGGCTCTGTTCTAGTTTAAAGTGCTGGACTTAGCTGGATCCCCATAGGGACCCTCTGTGGGATGATTTCTGTCCAGGATGCTGTCATCAGTCTCCAGCAGTGACAACCATGTTTCCCCCAGAAGCAGTGAGTGGGCCCTGCAGCCATGATGCTGTCACAGGGGAGGGGCACTTTCTGTGGAGGAGCAGCCTGGGCTGTGCTGTGCACACATGGGTCTTGTATACATGTGACCATGGAGGGTGACAGGCTGCAGGGTTAGAACCTGCTGCTGCTCAGCTGTAGCAGGAGTGTGCCCTGTCCCCACAGAATACAGAAATAAATGTAATTAAGAAAATGAAATCCCAAGTTAGGCAAGGTGGTACATGCCTTTAATTCTACCATTTGGTAGGCAGAGGCAAATGGGTGTCTGTTAGTGTCTGGTCTACATATTGAGTTCCAGGCCAGCTAGGGCTACACAGTGAGAACTTGTCCCTCCCACAAAAAAAAAAGATCTGCCCCCACATGTTTACGCAGTCCTCACCTGAGTACACAGGGTCTCTCCAGGCATGCTCTGGGTTTCTTCAGACTGCAGTTCCTGATCGTGTCCCAGAGGTCACACTCTGATTTTATACCCAACCTATTTCTCTCTGAATCATCCAATCCCAGAAACTCCACTCAAAATATCCACAGTGCAGTCCCTGTGGGTGCTGACCCTGCAGACACCATCATCCATGAGAACTGTCCATCTGTCCGCCCATCCTGTCTCACCACCCACCCTCCCACTCACTCCTTGATTTGTTTACCCCAGAGACAACATGCAGACCCACAGTAACCACCCAGACTGGGGTCTGGATAGAGTGGAGGAGAGACTAGAGAGGGTGGTGTAGACAGGACACTCAAACTGTAGCCGTGGCTTTACAATAGCACACAGATTTCCTGTCCCCATATGGCACCTTCTTTGTCTCCTAGGATGACATTGTCATCTTCATCTCCCTCATGTGCTGCCCAATCTCAGCATGAGCACTCCCTGACACCTGCCCAGGGAGCCCCATGGAGAGACTCTATAGTATGTCCAGTAGGTGGGCCTGGGTGACCAGCTCAGTTTCCTATTCTTCTGGTGGAATCTTTCAGCCTCTGCAAATACCCAAGGCCAGATGGAGAAATTCACAAGTCATTGTATTTGAGGTCACAGAAATGGAGAGACTCTCAATTTCCTCTTCAACATTATATATATATTATTTAAAAGAAAATATTAATAGTCACAAAATGTGTTTAAATGAATCTAATGAGAAAATGCCGGACATCTTCAAGTTCTCTGTTTCCAACCAAAGTAACACATGACCAGATCTATGGCCTCTCTGTAGTATTTGGAGTTTTGATGAGCTTTGCTGTTTGGTTTGAGATAGGGTTTCATGTATCCCAGGTTGGTTTCAAACTCAATAGCTACAATTAATAGCCTCCAGTTCATGGTCTTTCTATGTCTACTGTCTATCACTGGGATTGCAGGCATATGCCACCCTACCCAGCTTCCTGTAGTACTTCTATTAAGTGACTGGCTCAGGCCAGAGGACACAAATCACAAGCACTGGTAGCTAGACTAGAACCCAGGTCTGCTCTGCAATCAGACTATAATGTTCCTTCTCCTGAGGGGATTGACCTAAATGTTGAGATTGTTGGTTCTGTGTGAGCCTTTGCTGTGGGCCCCTTTGTTGTTCCTCTTTGAACAATGGAAACTGACATGACAAGTCACATGACCATTTGAGTTCCACCCATGAGGCCCCTTCTCTGTGCCCAGATGTCTGGAGGAAGAAGATGATGACTAAACCCTTCTTTATATGACTGGCCAGACCATCAGCATGGCATCCTGCTTGTGTGAACCCTTCAGGGATGCTCAGAGACACCACCCCAGCTGCCCATATCACTGTGACCATGGCTCCTGCAGAGTTCAACCTCAGGAGGCTTGGATCCTGTGGCAACCACTGCAGACATCTCACAGCTGCCAGGAGACTTCACTTTAACCATGAGAATTCTTGGTGACTTCTCCATGACCCCTGGTATTTTCAGCTAGTCTCTTGGGGAGGTACACAGTCCCTTCCCCCCCCAATGACTCAGAAATAACCCTGTGATTGATAAGACATTTGAGGCTTGTGTTTGGTGGAACTAAAGCAGCATCAATGCAGGATGGAGATTGGTGGATCTCATTCATGCATGCCTGTTGCTATTTCTGTCAAGAGGCACTATGACCAAGGTAACTCTTACAAAGGAAAAGATTTAATTGGGGCTGGCTTACAGATTCAGAGGTTTAGTCCATTATCATCATGGTGGGACATGGCAGCATGCAGTCCGTCATGGTGCCGGACGAGTTGAGAGTTCTACATCTTGATCTCCAGGCAAAAGGAAGTGAACTGTGTGTACCCTGAGAGAAGTCTGAGTAGAGGAGAATTCAAAGACCACCCCCACAATGACACACTTCCTTCAACAAGGTCATACCTACTCCAATAAAGCTAAGCCCCCTAATAGTGCCCCTCCCTATGAGCTTATGGGGGCCAGTTGAATTACATTCTAACTGCTACAATGCCCATTCATCTTTTCTGTCTGTGAAAGCAGCCTGGTTCCATTCTTTTTGGTCAGTCTGGATGCTGCCCTTATGTCCCAGCAGGCACTTGGTAGAAGCTGACCCACTGATGATGATCAAATGTGAAGACAGACCGTCCTTGGGAAGGAAGTCTTGTCCTAGAGAAGACCCCAGAGGTCAGAATATGAACATGGCAGGAAATAAGGAAAGCGACTGCATGTAGATGGCCTGTGAGGAGAGGAAGCTCAACATGAGGCCCAAGCAAGCCCCAGTCTGTCACCTGAGGAGGAGCACGGAGGGGTCAGGGGCCGTGGCTGGGATGTCAGTGTCCAGGGAGTATGGGAGAGAGGACCTAGGATCCTCATGCAGTGGTTCTCAGTGTGGACCATGGTCCCTGACTCTCTCCCTGTCCCTACTCTCTCTGTCTCTCCCTGTGCAGGACACAGTCTGCTACTCTCTAAGAGGTCAAGATAGACACCGAGGTGGAGTGCTATGAGGAAGACCTTCATTAAAAAGTATTAACTCCATGGGCAGAGAAGAGCACACACAGTTGGTCTCTCAGGACCAGAGCCAGAGAACATGACCTGGGTTCCAAGGAGAGGGCATCAGAGCTCCCATGACGGGAGTGTGGTTTCTCTTCTTGTACCCATCCAAAGATAGGATATTTTACAGTACAGTCCTGGTGCCATGCTCTCTGGTCTTCAAACAGGAGGCAGGGGATGGGGTGGGATGCAGGATATGTGGCCAGCAAACCCATACTTTCAAGTAAACTCACTTCCCTGGTGCGAGATCCTGGTGTGGAGTCTGTTAGCAGGGGACTATCAGACAATGTCTCAGCAAGTGCCTGTAGGTGACCCTGAGATGGAAAGGACAATTTTCCAGTTGTTTCCTTGTATAATTTGAGTCCCCAGAAATCGAACCCAGGTTATTGGGCTAGGCAGCAGACACCTTTTCCCCACCAAGCTATCTCACTGGTCCACTTGAATTTTTTGTTCGTTAGTATGCAGTTTTTTAAAAGATGACATTTTAAAAAATTAGAAAATGTGATGATCACGATTTATCATGTTGGGGAGTTCACATCATTTTTTATGGTATAGCCTCTCACTGCTTTGGAACTCACCAATTAGGCTGGAGCAGCTGGACAGACAGCCATATGGTTCTGCTTGGCTCTTGCTTGAGATTACAAAGTCCTGCCACCTGCCTTGCTTATAACGTGGGTTCTGTGGATCAATCTCAGGTCCTCCTGCCCATGTGGCAGGGTTTCCTGACTGAGTCATCTCTCTACTCCCTTGCATGTCTCTCAGAACAAGCTTCCCCAGGCAGGCCCTCACCTGCTCGCTGGGATGACCGGCGCCCACCTGGCTGGGCTTTGGCTTTAGTGTGCTGGCCTGTAGGAGAAGAAACGGTGTCAGTGTGGCAGCCACGCTGACCCTCACTCTGCCTTCAGATTCAGGCTCAGGTTTCAAGTCCAGAATTCTGCTTCCTCTCAGGTCTCCTGCTCCGTTCCTGCCCTGTAGTCTTCTTCTTACCATGGATTTCAATCTGCTCTGAACACAGTCCATACTCAATTCCTGTTTTGTGTCCCTTCAAGGTCTCATGGAGGACAGTTGACCTTCTACTTTCTGTGTCACTGCATGTGGCCCTGAACTTCAGATCCTCCTGTTTCCACTTCCAAATGCTGGGATAGAGATGTCCCCAGCTGTGTCACAAAACTCATGTCTTAGAATCCTTAAGAACGTTAGAAGACAACCCATTTCTCTTTACAAAAACGCAATTGGAGTTGGTTAGGGATTACACTGAATTTCTATATTGTTTTTCATTATAATGACATAAATTTCTCCACTGCAGCAGGGTGGTGGCGACACATGCCTTTAATCCCAGCGCTAGGGAGGTAGAGGCAGGTGGATTTCTGTGAGTTTGAAGCTGGCCTGGTCTAGAAAGCTACACAGAAAACCCTGTCTCAAAAAACAAACAAACAAAATTTCCATTGTAAAGGTATATATTTTTCCATTGTGCATATCCTTACTTTTTTTTTTTTTTTTTTTTTTTTGGTGTTTCCATAGGGTTTTTTTTTTTTTGTGATTTATTTTTGGGCAGTATGTATGCGTATATTTACATACGTGCACACACATGTGGACGGCAGAGGACAGCCTTGGGCATTGACCTGCAGCAGCTGTCTGCTTTAGTTTAGGATTCAGGCTTGTATTTAGCTTGGGACTCATTGATTGGGCAAGCCTGGCACCAC